TGATAGAAGAAAAAGTTGGCTACGATCTACATATTGTGGGATCAGGCTCCAAATTCCTTAACAGGACACCCATAGCACAAGAGTTAATAGCAAGAATCAACAAATGGGACTTACTTAAACTAAAAAGTTTTTTGCCATATCATCTTAATCAATCCATAAGTCCTTCTAGAGAATGCAAGACTCAAAACAAAACTGTATTCTGGCTAGAGGGAGTATTCTCTCTATACACACACCCACACATTCTATACACTATGCCTATCTCCAAACAATATGATAACGAAAAGTCAATAGGATTCACATATTTTCCTAACCAGGAAAAAAATTAAAAAGCAGATGATAATACTAGAGATAATTAGGAATATAATTTTATAATTAAACTTTTTCCACTTGTTATTTTTCTCAATGGATCAGTATAAGGAATATAAAGGATTAAAGGGGCTGGGGATGTGGCTCAAGCGCAGCACTCGCCTGGCATGCGTGCAGCCTGGGTTCAATCCTCAGCACCACATACAAACAAAGATGTTGTATCTGCCGAAAACTAAAAAATAAATATTAAAAAATTTAAAAAAAAAAAGGATTTAATATTTCTTTCTTAATGAGCAAACTGACTTAGCTGTACTTCCTGCTGTGGTTTTACTCCTGGTATAGTTTTTAATCCATGTTCTCCTAGCTAACCATAAACAACTATATTATTCTCTTTTGGACTAAAGTGATTTTTAAAGTACTAAAGTGATGTTTAAAATATCTCAATTTACCACATCGCTATGTCAAAAGCCCAAATTAGTGAGAATTTTAATTGATATATGAGAAAATATTTCTTTTCATTTATCCAAAAGGACCATTCATAGTTGGTATACTTATAACTTCACTACTACTGCCATAATGCTATAGTTTGAAAGCAACAATTGTAGGAAAAATTTCAAGCCTATTTAAATATGTGCATAAGTATACTTTCAACCTGACTGCTCCTACAGTAAAAGGTCTAAAACTATGAGGCATATATTAATCAGAGTATTTGCTGTTTTTTGGCAAAATAGGGCCAAAAATAAGTATGTTTTATAGCTGTAATTAAGGATCACTTAACCAGGCTGCCTGTAAGAGCTCTTTCAACTTTGGGGTTGCAAGTCATTTTCTCTTTCCTCTTCAAAAAAGGAAGCATTCATATTGTATCTTTGTTTTTAATGGGTATTATAAAAGTACAGAAAGAACTTTCATTTGTACAAAAGAGGTAGAATTTGATCTAAGGTAAAAATAGAGAGCAAAGGAAAAGAAGAACTGAGTGTATGTATGAAAGGAGTGCAACTTCACATTTGTACAATTGAGAACAAGTATGTAGATGCATTTCCTTTGAAATATTGCGCTACAGACTGACCCCTACCCACAAGTTTCTCGGACAACAACAGTTGTCAATCACTATGTGCTCTCATCAGCGCAAACCCAGAGAAAGTGTGGCTGGTTGCTAAATTAGATAATTAATTCCTGATTATTACAGCAAGAAAATTTGTGCTGCCTGGTTGTAATTTTTACTTTCATTAAATGGAACTCATTCATTTATTCCAAAACTATTTTTTTTTCTAATTTTCAGTTAGAATTACCATAAGAATAGGTGGTTACATTTTGTAATTCCCATTTCTTTGGAGTCATATGGACACTTAAAAACAATTAAAACTTCATCTGCTAAAGAGTATAAGTTATAATGAAATATAGTTGAAAACATTTATGCCTAATAGAAGAAAAATAGGCCCAAATCTTCATCACGTCGGCTCAGGACCTGACTTCCTTTACAAGACTTCTACAAAAAGTAGAATTTTAAGAATCAATAAATGGGATAAATTCAAACTAAAAAGTTTCTTCTCAGCAAAGAAAACAATCAATAACACGAATAGAGAGCCTACATAATGGGAAAAAAAATCTTTACTACATGCACCTCAGACAGAGCCCTAATCTCCTGGATATATAAAGAACTCAAAAAACTTTACCACCAACATAACAAATAACCCAATCTATAAGGAACTGAACAGACACTTTACAGAAGAAGAAATACAATCAATCAACAAATATGAAAAAATGTTCATCATCTATAGTAATTAGAGAAATGCAAATTAAAACTAAGATTTCATCTCACTCCAATCAGAATGGCAATTATCAAGAATATAAGCCATAATAAGTGTTCACAGTGATGTGTGGAAAAAGATATACATTGTTGGTGGGACTGCAAATTGGTGCAACCACCATAGATAGATATCTATGAAAACCTGGATATCTCAGAAAACCTGGAATAGAATCACCATTTGACCCAGCTATCCTACTCCTTGGTCTATACTCAAAGGACTTAAAATCAGCATATTACAGTGATACAGCCACATCAATGTTTACAGCAGCTCAATTCACAATAGATGAACTATGGAATCAACCTAGATGCCCTTCAACAGAGAAATGGATAAAAAAAAAAAAACTGTGGTATATATACACAATGATATATTACTCAGCCTTAAAAAAGAATGAAATTATGGCACTTGCAGGTAATAGGATGGAACTAGAGAATATCATGCTAAGTGAAATAAACCAATACTAAAAAACTAAATGCTGAATGTTTTCTCTGGTAAGCAGATGCTGATTCATAGTGAGGCAGGGAGATAGGGAAAAATGAAGGAATTCTGTAGAGGGGAGCGAGGGGATGGGTAGGATTATGCAGATGGGAAAAACAGTAGAAAGAGACCAACATTATTACTCTATATACATGTATGATTACACTAGTGGAGTGACGCTGAACCATGTATATACAGAGGAATGAGAAGTTGTGCTTCATTTGCATGCTGTATGTAAAAATTCATTTTACTGTAAAATTAATTAACTAATTTTTAAAAAGCTTACATGGAAAAGCAAATAATAAAATTAAGTAAGAAATGTATGAAAATTTATACAGTTAATCATTACTGGTGTAAGACTGCCTACCAGCATTTTAAAAATAGCTTCTGATCTTCTAAGAAGGAAAAAGTTTGAAGATATGCATATCTGTACATATTAATTTAATGCTGATAATATAATCTATCCATAAACAATGGGTAATGGTTAATGTGTGTTTATAAAACAGAACATACCTTAATAACAATAAACTAAGTATATTTTAATTGAATGCATAATAAAATATTAATAATGAAAACTAAAGAATTAATGCATGTCACAGTGTTTTTTTAAGAGTTTTATGCATAACATCCTTCTTTCACAATCATCAATGCAGAGATTAATGGAAGCAAGTACCAGCTAATCATTATAAAGAAAATTCCATATGTTAATAAAAAGAATTCTACCCATACCTACATGCCCTCTCCAAATTTATGAAATTTTATCAGTTTCCCAGTGAAAGACAAGTTGAGTTAAAAACAGTGAAAGGTATAATGTCAAAGTTTAAAGTATGCTTTCCCTTTTCTTAAATTTGCTATTGTTCTCATATTATGATGATAACTTATCTTTTTTGTAAACCTTGATGTTCTTAATTTTTAAAAAAAAATCAGATTTTTACCAGGAAGAAGTTAAATTATGGTATTTGATATTTTAGTAAATATTCAAGAAGGGAAAAGATACAGAAGATAAAGGAATTGAGAATAAAGTAGCCATATGTTTTATCTTCTAACTCGTGATTGTTTTTACAATGCAAAAGGACACTAACAGTAAAATGACAGTACAACAGGTGTAATGTGGGAATGCCCCACCAAAATCCAGACAGATGGTAACTGAGGTTAAGAAATGTACTTTAGTAAATGATTCTTTGCTATTAAACAAAAACCAATATTTTTCTTGAATACTTATACTATTAGCATGTACTCCATGATAAAAGACTGTATTATTCCCTGTCCCTAGTTTTTGCATAGTAGGCAATCAATAAAAACTGCCAGAGGAATAGGCTTCCTTTAAAAAAAAAAAAAAGCTATAACCTACAGAATATAGCTTGCTTAAATATCTTCCTAAGGCAAAAAAAATCAACAAACTCAAATTATGTAATAAAGAGTGACAGAATAGTGCAATCAAGATATATTAACTATGTAAATAAGGACGGTATATCTCTAGTTTCAAGTCTAATAATGAGAACAAAATTTAAGCTCACAAAGGTAGCTATTTGTTAAAATAAAAAGTTCCTCTAGGCATGATAACCACATCAATCAAACAAATCTGCTTTCATTTCTTACCCGCACAGCCAAAAGCCAAATGGTATCTAGAAGAAGGGCTAAATTTAACACAGCACACGTTAGCCTTTGCCTCAATGCTTGCCACTGAATTGTCTAGGTTGGTGGACCACAGCTTCACTAAGGGAAAGACAATAAAGAGAAATAAATACATTAGCAAGTACTTCTGTAACTTGAAAAGTTTCCTTGTTATGACTGATGTGCTTTGTGCCAATGTGAAATAATTTGGTTTACCAGGACCAAAAAGTGTTTAAACTGAATGCCTGAAGAACACAACAACTTATTTGAAGCTAACAAAGTCTAGCTTCAATGTCAAAGCCAAAATAAACAATGATTTTATACTGAGAGGTAATTCAGACCCACAAGAAAACTTAACTTAAAAGACAGGTAACAAGCCAGGCAAGGTGGCGCACACTTGTAATCCCAGCAGCTTGGGAGGTGGGGGCAGGAGTATTATGAGTTCAAAGCCAGCCTCAGCAACTTAGTGAGGCCGTAAACAACTTTAGAAAGATCCTGTCTCTAAATAAAATATTTAAAAGGGTGGGGATATGGCTCAGTGGTTGAGTACCTCTGAGTTTAATCCTTAGTACCAAAGTAAAATTAAAAAAAAAATTAAATTAAATTAAAAGGACAGGTTAACAAAACAAGCAATCTAGAGTAAGGTGGCATATCCCTTACATGTGCATTCATTACAGTATTATTTAAATATGTGCTTAAGTGTACATACTCTGACAAACATCATATATTTTCATATGTAAGAATATTTTTGGAACCGTCTATAAAAATGCTTAAAGGGAAATGTGTAACAAAGCGTTTAGATTAGAAAAAAGGAGGTCTCAAAACGGTGACAAAACTTCATCTTAAACTCAAAAAAGGAGGGGAAATTAAGCCCAGATCAAGAAGAAGAAAATATTAACAAATAAAAATCAATGAAGTCTCAATGCAATCCCTTCCAAAACCCCCAAGTATTTTACAAAAATAGAAAAAAAATATACATAATTTCAAGGGTCTCAAATAGCCAAAATAATCTTTAAAAGAAACAAACAAGAAGAACTCATCCTTCTTCATTTCAAAACAACTTTAGACTAATCAAAACAATATGGTAACAGCACAAAGACATACATTAAAAAACCAATAACTAATGCAGAAAGACCAGAGATAAAACCTTGTATGGACAGTGAAATGATTTTTGAAAAGAGTGCTGACACCATTCAACATGGGAAAAGACAGTATTTTTAACAAGAGGTCCTGGGAAAACTGGATATCCATGTGTAAAAGAATAAAGTCGTATCCTATACCATACACAAAATTTAAATAGATCAAAGACATAAATGTAAGAACTAAAACACTCCTAAAGGGAAACAAGGGAGAAAACCTTCATGACATTTAATTTGTCAGTGATTTCTTGGTTATGACACCAAAGGCACAGGCAACAACAACAAAAAACAACTTAAATTTCATCGAAATAAAAAAAAATTCATTCATCAAAGAACATTATTAACAAATTAAAAAGGCAACCACAGAATGGGAGAAAACATTTGCAAATCACATATCTGATAAGTGATTAACATCCAGAATATACAGATAATTCTTACAATCCAAGCAAATAAACCAAAAACAATAACAAATAAGCTGATTAAAAGGAGACTTTAAATAGATAATTTTTCAAAAAAAATATATGAATGACCAATGCATACATAAAAAAGATAATCAATAACAATAAATGACAAAAAAGCAGAAATAAAAACCCCAATGAGCTACCACTTTGTTCCTAATATTAGGATCTTCAAACATATATATAAAAAATATAATCAAATAAATTAAAAGGGGAAAGGCAAGAGAAAGGAGGAAGGTAAGAAGGAAGGAAATAATAAGTGTTGAAAGGATGTAGAGAAAACAGAATGCTTGCAATGCCAGACCTATTTTTTTCTATCTAACCATTAGTCTGGAAGATACATGAAGAAAAGAACAAAAGGGCAAAGAATTTAAGGCTACTGACTCTAAGGTAAAAGAAATTTGTCCACAGAGCTTTATAAACCTAATAGAAGAATCATATCAGAAAAGCACAGTAAGAATAACAGAAAATGATAACAAAGATGGATAAACAAGAAAAAGAGAAAAAGTCAATTAAACAGACAAAAAGAAATACAGAGGTTTTGCCTTAAAATATTATAAACTTTGTGAAGAGACTTTAGGATACACCAAAAACTTCCAAAGGACCTGGCTATGAGATGACAGCAATTTAAAATGTCATTATGTGGCACAAATCCAGAAAACATCATTATAAGAATGCAATACATTCATTTTTCCTTCACTCATAAAAGAGAAACTGATTTTTGTAAATTATGTTTGGCATAGTTTATCAATAATCACAAAGGATTAACAGGAGTCTTTCACTAAGTGTTTGTATCTCAGCCAATTAAAGGAATTAGCAGGAGAGGGTAATGCTAGGAGAGAGATTCAAATAGTACCTTTTGCATCATCAGAACCTGAAGCTAAAAGTTTAGGATCCATCAAATTAAAATCAACACTCCAACACCTCTTCTCATGCTCCTGGATATAGAAGGAATACAAAAAGACTTAGAATATAGATCTTAAAATAAATAAAGTAAAATGAAACAACAAAATACTGATAACCAATTTATTGCTATGAAAGGGCAGGAAAGACAAGAGGCTAAAAAAAAAAAGGCAAACTAAAATATCGATGCAAAGCAATTATAATCTTTTTATATATACATTTACTAATATTATTAATTTTGGAAATTTATTTGAAAGATTGATAAAAACATCAAAGTCTGAAGAAATCCTTTGGATGAGGTATTACAATTATCACACATGTGTAAAAAATATCAAATAGTCTCCAAATCTGTAATCATAACACACATGAAGTTCTATAATTGTAAAGAAAATGAGGCAAAAATATAATTCTTATTCTTATATAACTAGTACCTTAATTTACCTGATAGACCTTTGACCTCTGTCCTGTGAATCCATCCCACAGGATAACAGTGCCTTCATAATCACTGCTAGCTAACAAGTTCTTATGGTAGCTACTCCAACTGATACAGCTGAAAGAAAGTTAAAACTTATTTAAATATAAATAATAGGATATAAAGGATTTTAATGTGATCAGAAAGAGAAACTTTTATTTAAAGTTCACAATCACAATTCTACCAACAACTCCTGGATTTTTAAACTGAAAGTAATAAATCAAGTAATGGCCTTTAACCCTTTTTACTCTGATCACTAGTTGTAAGATGGATATGAGATTACAGCTTTCAGTTGTAGAGAATCACACAAGCCGGATAAACTAGTTTCAACTGGGTTTCTGTATTTATATCCAAAAATTTTTGCCTTGACCAATGTAACTTATGACTGAAATTTCAATTAAAATGTTCTAACAAAGTCAAACTTTCAATATTTATGGTTTTAGCTATTCTCAAGTCCCCCAAATTCTACAACATCTAAAAAGATATTCTGTTTTAAGTCAATAACACATCCTCCATATATGCAGTGCAATTACATCATTCACTATGAATGTGTAAGGAATCTCATGGAAAGGTAAAACAATCTCTCATTAATTATACATACCAATTGTTATATACATACTGCATCAGGACAAGAAAACCATGTAAATACCTGATTTTGGAATTGCAAGTCATTTCATTCTCAGGGTAATGAATATCCACTGCATCCTGGATGACTGTGCCATATTCATAGACTTTAATCTTCTTTGTAACCCCAGCAATTGCAAAATAGTCACAATCTCTGTCAAACTCAATACTAAGGAGGAAAAAGTATATAGTTTATCTCTTAAAAATCATTTACCTATCCTTGTGACATTTACAAAAACAATTTTCAGAATTTTATACTTTCTATTTTTAAAGTGAAAATTATTTGATCTACATGGATAAAAGATCTATTTGAAATATGTTCAAATTATGCTAGGCCCATGTCCACGATAACACATCAAGATACACCAAGACAGCTAGCTGTGCATATACAGCTGTGCTTGCAGACAGGCTTTTGTTCCCGACACCTGATATGCTTTTCAATTCAGCTCTACTAAAATTTAATGATTTGAATGGTTTGGTACATTATAAATATGTCAAAAGAATATTATCAATTAATTTTTGCACAAATTCTAGTTATTTCTTTTCCTATCATTTTGTGACAGATTTCAGATCACTTAATGCTATTTTAATAAAATAGCATACAAGCTGAAATACTGAACTGGGTGATGAAAAAGGGACAGAACACACATAAAAATGGAGCCATTTTTGTCATTACTTTTCTCCAAATCCATGCCTGATATATCTCCCAAACAAAAGTGATCTCCAATATGGGTAAACAGCTATTGAGGATTGTTTTAAATGTGAACAAATAAGGAGGTTAACAGATCTATTTGTTTACGTTCACCTTTCCTTTTCATTATATTTGATAATTCTGTTCAGGATAATGTAAATTGTTCAGAAAATTGTTTTCTTAGTACCTGTTGGAATGTTACATATTTTTTTTTAGCCATCATTGCCAGAATTCCTATCTTCATCCCACTGCTGGTGAAGACAAAGATAAAACCAAACTACAGCTTCTTCGATAGCTATCACAGTAAACTGTATAAACTGATGCATCAATGAATAATAACAAGTAATGCTCAATCAAGGAGTCGATTTACTTTGGGAGGAAATGGACATATTGATAGATTCCTCTGCTTTGAACTGCTTGCAGAACTTGCCTGGACTATGTATCACTTGTATACATTGTGAACTATCTGTTGGTGCATCGAATTGTAGTAATGCTGGAGTATTTTTGCTGATGATGTCACTGGTAGTACAATTTTTCAAAGGAGCCGTCAATTGGCTTAGTGTCGTGGCATTTCTGTATCCTCCTCCCTTCTGCTAGTGATGGTCTAAATTTTGGGGGCCAACAGAGGTGAGGCAAAGAATCTCACTCCCCCACTGGTGCATAAGCCTATCCACAAGTATGGCTGTATGGTGGACCAGTAGTCAGTGACCGGTATGATCCAACTGCAGTGGTACCAACCTAAGACAGGAAGCTGACGCCTTGAGGTCTGCTCATCCGATGACGGGTAAGAGCCATATGCAGTATTGGACAGCCTAACAGGCACGGTCCCTAAGCCACATGCTTGGTGCTTAATTAAAAGAAGAGGGGATATGCTGAGAGCCATAGCCCAGTAGGAATGAAGCATGGCATTTCTGGTTGAAAGGTGATGCCAGCAAGCCACTGAGATGATAATGGTTATGTTAAGATGTGTATTCAATTGGATATTAGACCCCTGCTGTCTGCCTGGGCATTCAAGGGAGTTTGAAATAAAGTCTGTTCCTGCTTGAGTGGCTCATGATTTTGTGCCCAGCCAGACTGGGGCACCAATACATATCACTTATATTACAAATAGGGGCAGCAATCCTTAAACTCTTTCCCTTCACTTAGAGTTAACTTGGGGAATTCAGTCCTATTTCTTAGTGATCTTATTGTTTGTTTAAAGGCAAATTTCAGAGTAAGCTATTTCAAAGCAAAGTACAAGCTCTTATTAACTTTTGAGGAACTTAAAGTGGAGCCTCAACAAAGTCATTGTTATATAACTAGCTAGGAATCTAAGTGGCCTAATGGAAGTAAAAATTGAAAAGAATCATCACATACATTACTCCTCCACATGATTTAAGCATGCTCCCTAGTCGTTTAGCTATAAATCTAGACTACATGATAATTCTCACTGATCTACAATTATATAATAATAACAATGTCCATGTATGATTCACTATTAAACATTTTGCAGGTATTAACTCATTTAATCTAACAACCCTATGAGGTGGTTATTATTTATTATCATCATCCACATTTTTAGATGAGAACAATAGGAATTAAAGTAACCTGCTCAAAATCAGCTATCTTACATGTGATTGAGATAGTATTTTTAAAAAATCAGGTAATCTGGCATTAGAGTTGATGCCAATGATTATTTGTGTACAAGTCGGAATGTAAAGTATAAAAGTTAAGGCTTAAAATCAAATAAAACTATGTATGAATGTGCCTTCTGCAACCATGTATGTGAATTTCTTCTCAAATACTTGCATATGTCAAACGTTCATTAAAGGCATATAAATATAAACACCTACATGATGTCATATACCTTTACTGAACAATTAATGGTTAATCATTTAATAAGAAACTTACTAAGCTGGTGATGATGGATAAAAAAGAGTAAGTACACATTAAGAATACTTCCATTCAAGACAGCGTGATGTCAATTTATTCATGAACTTAGTTTCTTCTTTAATTTTACATAATTTTTGCAAGAATTTCATTAACTAACTATGGCACAATTCAGCAAATGTTCCCTCCAATAAAATATGACTATATAGCAATGTAATGGATTAATCTGTACACTAATCTTAATTGAACTGCTGCCCAGCTACCATTTGCTGTGCTGTAGACACTATCATAGCAGAATTTTATTGATGGCAAATATTCATGTATCTCAACTCAATTTTATTTTCACAGCCTCATGTCACTGAAGGAGAAATAATACTATATTTGGTAAATAACAAAGTTATAAGAACCGAAATCCTGTCTTCAACTTAGGAGGTTTTAGTGTGCCTGAGACTTCAAGTGAGAACCAATTAAATCATGCCTAAATGCTCTTTTGCTCACTTATAAACATACACAGCTAATACAACAACAGCATTACAATGTTGTACTAGCAAAAGTATGCCACTGAAAAACATACCATTAGTAAACTATTAGTTTTTAATATAAAAAAGCTTTAATATTAAACAGCAACTTATTAAATCAAGATGAAAGATACCGCAGAGAAAACTGACACAAACTATCAAAACAGCTGATACAATGACTTAAAATAAAGTGTATTATTTTTTCTGTTACCCTGTTGTTAAAGACAGTTCTGTCCTTTTTTGTAACCCAGTTTATTATTTAGCTACATTAGTCCACTTTCACATTTCACACTAAAAAATTAACATTTTGATTTGATTTCATTGCTATTATTTTCTTATGTCTTGGATATTTCACTTTTACTATAGTCACATAACACAAAAATAATACAAAAGTGTACCATAATTAGATAGGCTGAGACAAAAGGTAAGCAAATTAAGTGAAATGTATCTGCTTATGCAATTTAAATCTTAAAAATAATTGTAAGAAATCTTGCTATTATATAAAATCCACTTCTGCCCTATATTATCACCAGCAATTATTAAACCCACTGGTTTATGAAAAATTTACTGTAATGATAAATTTGATTTCACAGGATGTTATTAATTCAAAATACACAAATTTCCTCTGAAAAATACACTGGAAACTTACTTTAAACATGGCTGTTTTTTTCTTTCATACTTTGAAATATTTCAACTGTTTAAAGAAAGTGATTTATGTGAACAGTTGAAAAGCACAATTCAGTTATAGAAAACTAGTTATATTCTTTGTCAAAAAGGCTATCAATCAACTGATTAAGCAGCAAGGCAACAGACCACATAGGACAGCAGATTAATGCATACTTCAGGTATAATGTGGCACACGAGCAATGCAAAGCTGTCAATATGCTCAAGAAATGAATTTTGTCAGTGTTCCTACAGTCTGTTATACTTTTTTGCAATTATAAAATATGTATTAACAAACAAGGTAGATTAATATCCCTGAACACTGGAACCCAATTTATCAAAGGAAAGTATCAAGTAAGAACAATTATTAAAAAATCTCATTCATTATTATCAGTGTGTCACAAGAATAATAGGTAACCATAATTTCAAAGAAACAGAATATACATTAAGAAACTGATCGTTAATGAAAAGAAATGGGTAGATCTTTAAAGAACACAAACATGAGTAAGGTCAATAAAGAATTGGTGTCATTAAGCCTCTTCTCAAATTAATCAATATTAATAGATAAACTCCCTCTACATATATAATACTTACTATATGTCAAGCATTGTTTTTAAGAACTGTACATAAATTAAATCTTTACTAAATGGATAAAGAAACTAAGGTATACTGATGTTCAATAATTTGACCAAGATTATGTTACATAATTAAAACCATCTAGTTTCAGAGTCTATGCTCCCAATCATTATGCAAACTGTAATGTTAATAAATGGGCTGGTCTCTAAAGATCATACACACAGGCAATAACAACAAAGAATAAAACTATACACTATTTTATACATAGTGATAACAACAGAAATTCAACTTGAGTAAGAAGTTAATATGAGGAGGGAAAAGAATAAGGTAGGCTCACAGAGTTCATAATAGTAGGAATGATTGTACATAGTATAATCAAATCAGTTAAGTTAAAACACGCACAGGAATTCAGAAGTCAATGGTTCCCGAGGCCCACCTAAATTAAAGAATGATGCATGAATATTTTCAGTAATCAAATATTTGGAGGGCCTGTTATCTGCCAGATACTGACTGAGCCGATGAAAAATCAAGATATAAAAAAACAAAAACAGGGCTGGGGTTGTAGCTCAGTGGAAGAGCACTCATCTCGCATGAGTGAGGCACTGGGTTTGATCCTCAGCACCACATAAAAAATAAGTAAATAAAGATATTGTGTCCATTTACAACTAAAAAAAATATTTAAAAAACAAAACAAAAACAAACAGTATTTGAGAGATCCATAGAAGAATGTCAAGTATGTCACATAATTTTCATTTTCTATGATGCAAAATTTAATCTCCCACTATTGTGGAAAATCCTCCAACATAGCTTGAATGTTTTGAAACTTTTTTATTAAAAAAAAATATGTAGCCA